ACAACGCTCCAGGTCCAGATGGCATCCCAAACTTCGCCGTCATATATATATCAATGGGGCTTGCCTATGAGAACGCGTGTTTCCAGATAAATAGAAGCTGCAGCAATTGGTACCACATTGTAAAGGGAAAGGTCCAATAGATAAAGCATGGTCCTACTGGCCTGTATGCATGATCGACACGGCTAGGACTGTACTGGAGCGATTGATACACAGTCGTGTGAAACAAGCGATGGAGAGCACAGGATGGCTTGCGAAAAACTAATGCGGATTTAGAATGGCGAGATCTACAATAGATGCAGTTCAACGTGTATTTGACATAGCCCGGAAGGCAAAGATCGGGAAGGAGTAGGAGAAAGTACTGCGCTATTGCCACCCTAGATGTTAAAAACACCTTCAATTAGGCGAAATGGAACTGCATTTTAAAAGCTCTGCAGCATATGAGAGTGCCACAGTACTGATTAAGATCGTCATCTTCTTTAAAGGAATAACGCTGTTTTATCGCACCAGGATCAACTGACATAGTTACCGGAGGCATTCCACAGGGCTGTCTTGGGACCTCTACTGTGGAATATAATGTATGACAGCGTTCTCAGAATAAACATGCCAGGAGATGCCGAGGTCATCGGTTTTGCGGACGACGTAGCATTCGCTGTATAACAAAGAGGAAGTGGTTAAAATCGCCAATGAAGCAAAGTCTTTACTTCGCCGATGGTTAACCTTTGTCCGCTTGTCTTTAGCGGACCACAAAACTGAGGCAATTCTCATCAGAAGTAGAAAGTTGAGAGAATCCATCGCCATTTCAGTGGGGAACAGACATCCATTCCGGTCTGTATCTGAAGTACTTAGGAATTATGATCGACGCGAAGCTAAGATTCAACGATCACCTACAGTACGTCAGCGATAAGGCGGCAAAAGCGATGATGGCCTTGACGAGACTAATTCTGAATGTTGGAGGATCAAGACAGGAGCGGAGACGACTGCTGTCAAATGTCACAACTTTGACCCTGCTATAGGCTGCTCCAGCATGGGCTGCAGCAATAAATCAGAAGATAGTCTCTTCGTACAGAAGAAGCGCACTGAGGTAGGCTCTGGCGTACCGCACGGTCTCGTATAATGCAATGTGTGTACTGACAGAACGACACAGTCACTACCAACGCCGCTGGCAGAACAAGGGCTCACCTCACGGGGCAAGACTTCACAGGCCGCATAGATGAATTGGATTGATGCCTTATTTTACGTGGCGAGACTCGGGCCCGAGCGGAGCCATGAGGCCCGCTCTTCCGTTTGACCACGCAAATTTTGCTACGCTCCTTTCACTGAGAGTCACGAGTCCGTGATTCAGTGGAGTGACTATGGGACAGCTCCAATAGCGGTTGGTGCGGATGGCTTGCGGTGCTGCAGCCCCCGTCACAATCAGAATTATTTCTCTTTGATATTAAAATAAAAAATGCAAAATAGTATTTCATTATATTACATGGCCAATATAGTTCACAGCTGGGGCGTTTGTAACTTGCGAAAAGCTTCCGCCATGGTCTGCAGCGATTCCACTTCCCTCCCTTGGACTACCTGCTTCTTGCAGCGAAGTACTGGTATAGTTGATTTCGCTTTCCCCGCTGTTTGTGTGTCTCTATCGGGACTCGACGGGCTGCAGGAAAGGCAGTCCCATGCGCGACTTTAAAAGCTCTGACGGACGTGTGACATAGTTGAGGTGCTGTGAATTGTATTTGCGTTTTTTTTACTTTCTCGCTACGGAGTAGAAAGTTATGTAATTCTGTGCGAAATAACGGCGAATTTCTGGCAGAGAAACTTATTACAGGACCTGCTAACGAAAATGTGGAATTTTTTAGTACTTTACATTAAGCCCCTGGGACATTTAAAAACTCGTGGTGCTGCCGCCAAAGCACATACTTTCTCACATTGATTCTACAAGCTCCGCAACATTCCAATACTACACAACCAGCAAAAGTTTTGTCAAGCAGATAATTATTTTTCTGCTCCCAGACTCGAACCCAGATACTCAGAGTTTACATGCCGGCACTCATATCACTACGCCACAGAAACACCGCGTGGTTAGAATCCTGACAAAGATATAAAAAGATAAATTACTGGTTTGTTTAAAATAACCTCCAACTATCAAAATATCGTAAAAAAAGCGTTAAACACAGACGGACATTTTGCTGTCAGTCGATTTTTCGGTACGGAGAACCAACAAAACATGGATTCTAGCTGCAGCACGAGTTAGAGAATTATTTTTCTAAATTTAGTAACATGATTTGTCCAACTTTTTCATTACCAGATCCCGGCAATGACTTTTATTCTGGCGAAATTTCGGATTTTCTGGCGCACGATTACATAACTCTCTTTTTACGAAGAATTCGTAAGGCGAGAAAGTACTAATAATTTCTTAACCGTTAGGGAGATGGTCACATGGCTAATGTTCATAATGTATTTAAATTTCATGTTGATAGTTTCGTTAGCTTACTTAAATTGATTCATACAGATGCGCAGAAACTCAACAATTGATTTGACGTGACATACGTTTTACAAAAGTAAGTTGAAAAAATGTTTAAAAGTTACAAATAGCAAAAGCGCGTCCGGTTTATTTGTATATGTACGTATTGCATTTGTGGGTAGAAATGCTTCAAATGATTTTCAATAAAGTTTCTCGAATCCCTAATAGTTTTCTACAACAACACACTCATCAAATTAAAAACCCCGTGTGGGACTCGAGCCGGCGACCTCTTGGTTTGGAGAGATGAATCCGAACGTGCCACTTAACAATATCGGCCATCTAGGACGACAAGATATACAATTCCATATTATCCAAGACAACTTTTAGTTCTTGCATTACGGAGCTGAGGAAATGTGAAAAGCAAAGGGGGTTAAAAGTAGCATATTCAAAAATCACATATCTAATGTTAATCAATTGTATTTGTTAGCAGAAATGCTTCAATTTTTAATTAAGTTTCTGCAATTTTCAATAGTTTTGTTCGGCAACACAGAATTGTGACAAATAACTATCCCTGAGCGAGGCTCGAACAAGCCGACCTTACCTCCGAAAAAAATGTGGAAAACATACCGCTCGAAATCGCCCTGAAATCAGCCGTGAAGAGAGTGAAACTTGTCCCAAAAGTTAGTCAAGAATAGAGAGATTAGAAAACTAAATAGGGCGAGAAAGTCTGAGCCATTCTATAGCACCACTAGTTTTATATATTTTTTTAAGTTTATTTATTATTTATTTACAGAAATAGCTTATTTACTACAACAAACTTTGTCTGCGGTAAAAGTTTCTTCAATTTTGTAGTTTTAAAATTAATTTGAAATTTTCGAAGAAAAAAAAAGCAATACTAAAAAATGGGACTAGCACTACATTTATTACCGTGCCTTATTACTTACGTGGTGAAATTTTAGACAAATTATAGAGCGGTTATTATGAAAAAACTTTTCGTAAATTTCAAACGCTAATTATGCACAAACCTCTCTTTTTTTCAAATAATTGAACGTGACGTTTTTGAAGAGGTGAATTTGTACAACTTTGCCGGAGATAAAATCCTCAATCTTCAAAATTGTACTTTTCAATCTGTTTTTTGTAATTTTCGGAAAAAAAAGCAATACCCCCTGCTGGGACTAGCAGATATTTCTTAGCATTCTTTATTACATATGTGAAGAAAATTAAAAGAAAAAATTTGGATCGAGTTTTTAGAATTTTTTGTATATTTGAAGCGCAAATTACACAGAAACTACTAACTTTTACAAAATATGTATCTGAGCTTTTTTAAAGACCTTATTTTGTCCAAAGACTTTGAGCCAAAAACCTCTTATCAATTTTGTAGTTAATTTTTTGTTACAGTTTTAGGGAAATCAGGAGTATTACCGAATATGAGACCTGCACCATTATCTTATACATCTTTCGCACTATAAAACAACAAAAACTAATCAAAAAAAATTGGAGCAGTTTTTCGGAAAATTTTGAAAATGTCAGAGGGACGTAATGTAAAATATCGGATTCAAAATCCAAGCATTGCGACAGCAGCCAGGTTGAATGAGGAATATGAATTTTAGAGAAAAGTCGTTGAACGATTTAGCCGCTAGCGTTGACCACAGACGAACATTTTGCCGTCAATCGAATTTTTGGTATCAAGAACCAACATAACGGATTCATTAATCAATTTTTTCGTTACCAGAGCCCGACTATAATATTACTTTAATGTAACTACTACTGTTATTTACTGTAATATTACTTTTTCGGGCGCATGATAACGTAGCTTTCTTTTCTTGCCAAGAATTAGTAAGGTGAGAAAGTAAAAATTACATCATTGTTTTTTATTAAATTTTGTTATTGGATAGTTAAATGATTTGTAAAGATCTGGCGGGTGTACGATATGAGTGAGGGGGCTGTATATTTTATTTTTCTGCGTTTTTCCTATCTCGCTACTTAGTGGAGATAAATATATGTAATGTATGGAAAGGACATTCAAATGTGATCCCACAAGGTAAAGAACTTTTAAATTAAAGAGAGAAATAGAAGCAGCAACTCATTTGGAGATTTTTAAGACACTGATGTCATAATGAAATATTATGTGAAATAAAGATAACCAAACTCTGTGTCCAATCACTTTAAAATAACTTTCAATTTCAAATCTTGTTTGTTTGACATGATAATTGTGATGATGTGCTGTTCTTTTGTAGTATGCTTGCTTACTCAATACTACTGAAATTGCTTGTCAGGCCCCCTCCCTCTCTCTTTTTAACCCTTTCCCAATAATCACGAATCTAACTCATCTCACTCCTTTAGAAGATGGACTGAACATCCACAATGTGTTTTTGGAACTTCACCCTTTTGAATGCTGAGAGATTACTGCACATCTTTTCGGAACATGTACCGAATCATATTCACAAAGAAGACCTTAATACTTACCTCTCGACTCTCATGTTTATTTCCTTAAAACTCTGTATTGATTCATTTTTAATACGTCAACTATATCAATTAACAAATTGAAAGTCTCCTTTATTTTGACAACCACTGGTAATGTATATTTTCATATTAAAGACAATGGTAACCATGGGGCATGCAAAGCCCACCAGACCACTGACAATGGACCCTGAATAATTAAAAGGGTTACTTAAAGCATTCAGGTGTTTTACATAAGGAAAGAGTTTGAGAACACACTAATGTATATTAATATCAATTTACAATTTTGGTACTTTGAAACTCTCAAACGTGTATTATGAAATCAATTCCCACTTTTACATCAGTTTCAAAACTGTTCACGAAATAGTTTAACAAGCAAGTGATTTATACAAAAAATAAAAATTATGGAACAAATAGTATTTTCAAATAGATCTTTCATTTTCCTTGGAATGGATATCATAATACATAACTTGTAACTACAGTCAAAATAAAAAGATTTTGTAAGTAACTTGCACTAAGCTTGCTTCAGTATAAGGAACACATACTAAACTCCCTATGCATGAAGTTATTGTAAAAATACCTTCATTACATACAACAGGAATGGGAAAAGTGCTTTTTTGAGAGTTCAAATAAGTCACAAAAATCAGTCTAATTGTACATTAGGCATACATGTACATAATTAATTATGCACACTCTGAATAGAGTTTTTCTGGAATATTTCAGCATATTCTGTAATGAACTGACATGCACGTTCAACCATTTCACTAATATCCCAGCGTGGGCTAAAAGGATAATCATCACAACGTGTTTGGTACGGATTGCCATACCGAGCATGGTATACAGACTGAAACTGAAATGTTGGTTTCTCTTTTGGAAAATAAAGAGGTAGTGTTACATGTAAAAGAAAGTAAAAGTCTCGTCGCTCCAACATGAAAGAGGCATGCGAGAAGGTTACACCATCATATTCCAGGATACTCTTTTCCAGATGGTAAAAGAGGGCAGCTAAGTATTCTTTTTTCTTCTCATAACACTGTGTTACATTGGCAACGCGTTCTTGAAGTTGATCAACTACAATAGGTACATAGTCCATCAAGCAACTTCCATCAGGAGGGAAAGGAGGTAATTGTAATGTTCCTGCCCCTCCTAATGCTTTTTCAACACCAGGAGACAAATGAAGTTGAGGAGTAATGCGACTGCCTTCTGGAGAGTGAAATGTCACTAACAATATTGCAACATTTTCGCCAGGATTTTCAGTACTCAAAACCGGTGGCAATCCAGAAAAGTCCACTTTCAGCCTTATTAAGAAATTTACTGCTCCACATAAAAATCGTGATTTATTTCTATTACCCACGAGAACTTCGACATCATCTTCACTCACTTGTGCTTGACGTACCAATGACAAATATTCAAACTGAATTCTGGAATAATCTAATTCATCAAGCAGATTAACCTAAAATCATAAAAGAGTTTGAATACATTTAAGTTTAAATATTTTCAATTATGCAATTTGAAAAATAAAATTTTAAAAAAATACCTGATGCTTCCTGTACAACACAAGCAACTCTGAGATAACATAATACAGAGCTTTTGGATCCTGGCTATTCCAATTAGCCAAACTAGGGAGATGTTTTTCTAGAATATCAACGTCTGGATCAGACAAAAATGTTTCATCATTAAAAGTAAAATCGGGAGGGTAATTTTTACGATAACTATTAAATATTATCTCCCATGAAATGAATTGCCCAGCAAAGGGTATGGATAACTTGAATCTATCTCCACTTCCCGATGTTTCAATAGTGGGTCTTCCTGACTGCACTTCTGCTATCTTCAAATTTCCGCCACCAATACCTGTAATATCCATGTCTGTACAAATTAAGTAATAAAAAAAGCAGTTTAAAACGCAAATTTAATTTACAAATAATGGATATTCACTCACCAACATTTCCATTTACGAGTAATTCCTTCACGAATGGCTGTATATTAGGATGAAAACTCGACACAATTTGCTCGTTCATCGAGATGCTATGCTTTTTTATATATTTTAAAGACAAAATAAAAGTACTATTAGCTCGTTCAAGGACAGTGGCACAAATTATGCGAAAAAGTTATGTTCATTTACCTCGAAAAATTTTGTTTTTAAATCACCTTTCAAAGATATTCACACCAAAATTAGTAGATACGTTCAATCTTTACAACGTATTGCATAAACTAAGCCAACTCTCTCAAAATCACATTGCACATTTCAATGTCATATCACACACAGATTGAGGTTATAAACTGACATTTGCTGAACTGACAACATAGCCAGGGCCCTATAACTCCCATATAACGTGGTGGAGACCATTATGGTGGCGCGCTCTGCTGCATCACCTTCTTCACAGGAACTAAAACAGGAACTGCTGCCAACGATACTTTAAACGTGCGTGACTGGTGCGTGAGTCGCAAGCAGGACCATAATGTTACATAAGATAACGTCTATGTTCGCGCTTCTTCAGAGGTTACTTACAAGTAGAGATTATGAATAATTGTACATTTAGAAGACACTTTTCGTATTTCTCACAAATTAGCCAATTTGTATGTGGGAAAGTTGCGAGCCTAACCTACAGCTGCACCCGGCGACACTAGCGCTTCCTATAGTAGCAACCTCGAGCTTTGCCCCGATTTTGATGGAGAGTTGCCGGGCCCTGAACATAGCAATTTAACCAACCTACATTCTCAAGACGTGTGAGACGAGACGTTTCTCAATTTTATTTTTCAATATATTATTCTTCATAATATATTGTAATGTAATTACTGAATACAATATAAAATATATTTAACAATTAGAAGCTAAAATTACACCGTTCCAACCTGAAAGACAGTTAATAGTTTGTTCTTAATACTTCCACATATATATATATATATATATATATATATATATATATATATATATATATATATATATATATATATATATATATCTTTACAATATTATGGTGGCTACAATGGTATGTTGACAATAGGCAGGTATGGTGCGTCAAAAACTTGACGTGCACAGAGAGTACAAATAATAGTGTCCTGTCCTGGAGAAGTCTGAAGTGCTTGTACTTATACAGGCGATTATCACGCCGCATAGCACTATACTATTTCTACCTATCCTGCTAAGATTGACTGCAAAACGTTACGGAAAAGGTAAAGACATCGAGTTGTTAGTATTAGCTACTGTTAGCAGACGGCTGAGTACTTTAGTATTGATGTTGAGAGATTTCATTGTGTGCTATGGTGAGTTGTGTTTTGGAATTTCAGTAATATATTTTGCGATTGAAACTTCCTGAATATAAAGCAGTAATATTTGAAAATGATTGCATTGTTAAATGAATTTTTCTTTTGCAGTCTGCTATATTTAACTTCCAGAGCTTGCTAACAGTAGTTTTATTACTTATATGTACATGTGCATATATTAGAACATTATTTCCCAGTGTTCTTGATAGAAATAAAGTTGGGTAAGTTGGTTTCTAATATGTTTTATTAATACAGCCATTTAAACATTTTCCTGGTGTTTGAGAGAAAGCATTGAATTTTTGTATGATGGATTTGCAGATTTCTGGGTACATTCTGGAAGTGTGCACGAATTGGTGAAAGAAAGAGCCCATATGTTGCAGCATGTTGTATTATAATGGCATTCAGTATTTTATTCCTATCCTAACAGACATGATAAATCAACTGTAAAACGTGGTTGGGACTTTTGTTGTTTATTAACTAACCCCCAAGTTTAAGCCTTAAAATGTAAATTTTCTTGTTTTATGAATTTGTAAATTTATATTTTTATCAACAAGATAAAACATACAATAAAGTGACATGTTTGTATATTAAAAGTTGTTCATATATTAAATGTTATTTGCACATTTACAATTTGTCCAAGGAGATCTGGAGATGTCAATTTAAGTTTGATGGTAATGGTCTAGCCCAGGGCTCATCATGGCACTTGCTGTTAGTGAATGTCTGGGACTTTGCAAAAGTGCTATGAGAAATTTAAATGTCAAATTCAGAGGTAGGATGAGAAATAAATGCATGCTGCTACTACTTGCCCCACATTGTAACTAAGTCTCATATGTAGCTGGAAGTCTGCTCAAGATACCTGAACATCTATTAAAATTGCCTGTGGATAGTTATTCTCGCCTGTGTGGATATTAAATAAAAATTATTAAACAAGCATCTTTCAAGAAAAATATTTCAACGAATATCTACAACAAACAGGTTTTATCGGAAAATGTTCAATTGTTATAAATCATGGAACATTTGTCTATATAACTTGAATTATTATAATTTGGCATACATGTTATTGATAAAGAATTCCAAATTTCAATTTCAGACAATCAGATTTGTTGGAAAACAATCACATCAAATAAACATAAAAATTGGTAAATAACACGGATAATTTTTTGACATTTTTTTCATGGTTCGGAGACCAAATGCACCCCCATCTAAGGTACATATAAGAGCTAAAAAAAAGAAGATTACAATGCATAAATGTTTATACAGTACATTATACAACAATTTAAAATGAGAAATACGTGTGCTAACAGAAGACCACAGGATAGTTGGAAGCTTACTTTTCATAACGCTAATTTTGAGAATTTAACATATGTGGCATTAAGTATGTGATGTTCACTGGAACACTGTTTTTTGAATTCTTTATTGGTACCCTACACAAATCAGTGTTACCCATTGTTAAAGGTTACGCTTGATAAACCTTTTTAAATTTCTCTCGGAAGTTGGTTGTGGAAAGATTGCTGGTCAATGTACTACTACATGATTTTATGAATTTTCCCTCAAATGTAAGAAACAAGAATGCAGTAGTAGGGGAAACTGCTATAGGAGGGGTGAGCAGAAGACGAGCAGGTCAAAACAAGGAGACAAGGGTTAAAGGGCAATTTCATTTAATTTTGCTTAATTTTATGTACAATATTATCATACGCTTTGGTGAAATTATTGCATTTCAGGATGTAATTCATGGAATTATTTAATTTAATATTAATTAAAAATTTTATTTAATTAATAATTTAATATATAAAGTTTCTTATACCATTCTGCGAAACCTTCCAGTTTTATGGTCTAATCTGTGAATATTTTTTAAATCCAACTTGTGGCCAGCATTTATCCGAAAGGTGGTAACTGACTTCTGTGGGTTAGTTGGTTCCCTAACATTTCTTTAATGTTCCTTTATTCTAGCAACCAATTTGCGTTAAGTGTAAGCAGTGTAATTCATGTCACAATCTAGACAGGTTATCCTATAATTATTTGCTTCACAATGAAGTATTTTATCTTCTATGTTTTTAACTACATTGGTTTTATTTACTATATAATTTCTAAAGTTAATTTTTTCATTAAATTTTCTTTGTGCCAATCTTTTAAATCTATTGCTGATCTCAGCAACATGATGTACTTATTGTACTTGGTTTTGGACTTATTTCTAAATTGCTTGCATGTCTATCCATATTCTTTAAGTTTCTTTGATTTCTTAACTTCTTATGAAACATTAAATATTTATGAACAATTTTATTTATGAATTTCATAAGATAGTTGTTAGCTAATAGTGTACTTTTTGTGGATTTCATTTGGTGATTAATTGACCTTTTATCAACATACATTACATGTATCTTAATTTATGTTGGGTGCCTTGATTTGTAATTGATAGTATGATCTTTAGCAACAGGATTTTGGTACCATTCTTTTATAAGTTTATTATTGTTCCCCACAATGTTTATATTCAAATAATTTAAGGTGTTATTTTCTCTTTCAATTGTAAATTGGATCTGTGGTTCATATATATTTAAAGCTACTAAGATCTCGTTAAATTTCTGCCCTTAAATTATTAATATCAAGCCAACTACTTAAGGTTTTTAAAAATTAATTCCAGAAAGGGGTAATATTGTCCTTTCCAAGTGTCACATTACTGCATTTTTTCATTGTTTTAAATTATCGTATAATATATTGTATAAATATTTATGCATTTTAATCTTATATTTTTAGCTCATATATGTACTTGAGGATGGAGGAGCATTTGTTATCCAAAACGTTGTGAAGAAAATGTGTAAATAATAAACAATGTGTTTTTTGTCAATTTTTACTTTCCCGTATACATACGTATGTACGAGGTAAAATACGTAGTATAGAGAAAGTTATGTAATGCTGCGCGAAAAAACTGCGGATGTTCGGCAGAAAAAAAAATTAATTGCCGGGACCTGATAACGAAAAACCAACTGACAGCAAAACTTCCGTCTATCCGTCCGTGAACACCTCAAGCGCCTGATACTATACGTACTGATCGTACTATACGTACGATTTTTTCCAAAAATAGATATTCCTCGGCCGATCTGGCTCCACTCGAGGTCCCGCGATTTGGAAAAACTTCCTTCAAAATTTGGAGGTACTTATAATGAAGCTCCCGGGACATTTTCAAAATTTTCTCAAAAACGACTTCAATTTTTTCTTTTAATTTGTAAGAAGAGTAAAATTCACGTACAAAACTGGCTTAGGTTCAATATTCGCGGTTAGCTCGAAATTTTCGAAAGAGCAAGAGGGTTAATCTTTTACGGCGTCTTCCTACAACCAAGAAAGTTTTCGCGCAGTATTGCGTGCAAAATACGCAATTTTAAAATATTTCAAAAACAGGGTTTCCTATAAAACGGTTTCAAATTTGATCTTTCAACTTTTGATGGGGATAGTACTAAATGGATTCTAAGAAATGACGTAAACGCCATGTTACTCTTTTCTTTGGGCGCTTCAAAAATTACGAAAATGTTGTTTTTTTTGTTGTTTTTTTATTTTTTTACTTGTCACGTTTATATTTACATAAGCGGCGATTTGTTCACATTGTTATATGTATTATTCTTAGTTATATTATGAACACATGTGCTTTAAATAATGTCATATACAGTTTCTCGAAAACTCAACCATTTTCTGTAAAAACGTCACAAAATTCCGCAATTTCAGAATCGCTCAAACGCCATTTTCTCATAAATGGCTCCAAATTTTATCTTCAAACATTTTGAACGGATAGTGCTTATTATACTTTAATATGGCGTAAAGTTAATTTCGAGGAATTGTTTTGTGTTTTCAAAAATCACACAAATGCAATTTTATGAAAGGTCTCTCACGCACATTGTCAGCAATTTGTAAACGCTATTTTGTGGTCACTGTATTAGTAAGTTAATGTGCGTCAAATGACTTCTAATGTAGTTTTTCAAAAACTCAAAATGTTTCTGTGAAGATCTTCAAATTTCGCATTTACAGTAATGCTTAAACAGAGTTTTCCAAAATACGTATCCAAATTTTTCAAAGAAAATTGCCATTTAGGATGAGGTTTTACTTTTCTTTAATATTTATAAAATAATATTTCAGCTCTTTTAGGAAACCGAAAAATTAAGAAAATTAAAAAAAGAAAATGTACTTTGGACGGCAATAGATGGCACCTGGTAAGAGTATGGGGCAAGTCTGAATAGCAAGAAAATAGAAAACTAATACGGGAAAGTCTGTGCCATTCTGTGACACCACTTTGCGTGTTTTGTTTTCCAACTAATGTGATTGTCTAAAATTAAAATTAAGAATCCTTTATCAATAAAATTTGTCTATTCTAAGATGTACGAACTCAAAAATTACTTTGTTATTTAGGGATTTGGTATGCAATTGTGTAATTAATTTTAAATTATGATTTTCTTGGGGTATTATCTTCATTCTTTAAGAGAATTACACTGGGCATCTTATACTTGCTAATTATATTATATCAGTATGTAATAAATCCTGGGGTAAGTATAACCAAATACTTCCTGAAGCAGTGCTGTTTGAAGGGGAAGGGGATGACAGAAGCCGTGAACCAAAAAACTAGTGAAAATAAATTTCATAATTTTTTTGTTGATGCTTGAAAATGTTTCCGAGATTTCTGAATGTGTTTTAATATTATAAACAGATCAAACATACATTAAACAAGACTTATTTTTAAAACTTTTATTACTTAAACGTTTATGACTACCAAGAGTTCTCACCATAGATGTGCGCACAACAGGGCTGTGGCCATTTTGAAAAGCGCCTTATGTATTAAATATTTGAATCCCATAAATATGTTCTACGAATATCCCATATTTCCCACTTATTTAGAGGAAAAGGGGTCAGAGAACGTAGTTGCGTCCCCCTCTTCTTTTAGGTTGCACAAGTCTATTATTCAAATTGTGTTTCCAAAAACGTTAAACAAGTATTTATTATTGAAAATTTGTGACACTTGTAGCATGCAAATATTACACAGTTAAGGTTTTTCCATGTATAATTTTTCGTTGTGTACATTGTATATGGAAATGCGTCGAAGTGCGTGAATAACATCGTTTTTACTTTCTCGCCTTTCTACGTAAGTAGTAAAGAGAAAGTTTTGTAAGGAAATAGGCATTGTTCGACAGAAAAACTCTTGACGAGCCGTGTTAACGAGAAGGTGGATAAATCTCGTTCATATGTGAAGTAAATTATTTCTGCTCACACGTGAAGACAGAATTTGTATTTTGTGGGTCCTTAATACCGAAAAATCGATTGAAGGCAAAATGTCCGCCCGTTGGTCTACGGTCAATCGTATTGACTAAACAGTTCAGACGACACATTTTTTGCGTTAAATGTGGGCAATTTTAAACAATTATTTTCTCAAAAGTCTCCAATTTTTGCCTCATATGTAGCAAAGCACAGTAAAGAATGAAGAGTTTGTCTCATTTTCGGCAATCTCTCTGTATTTTAAAAAATTTCATCGCAAAAATGCAATATTGATGGTAGAGAATTTTTGTTAAAAAAATATGT